CCCTGGCGGTTTCAGGTGTACGCGCACCGCTGCCAACAGAAGCAGCAGCAGCAGCAGCAGCAGAAGCACCAGCAGCAGCAGCAGCAGCAGCAAGTGACTATACGCCGCCGCCTTTGCTGCCTCCAGAACCTCTTTGTATACAGCTGCGCTCTTCACTAACAAAGGGCCTCTTGAAGGCCGACAAGCCCACAAGGTAGCTGTTGCTGCTGCTGTTGCTGCTGCTGCTTTTGTTGCAGCTGCTGCTGCTCTTGCTGCTGCTGCTGCCGTCACTTTTTCCGTCGTAGCTGCTGTAGGGTATTCAAACTCCTTGTAGTGCAAAGCTGCAGCATGAGTTTGCCTTCCAGTCTCTGCTGCTGCTGCTGCTGCTGCGGATGTTGCTGTTGTAATTTCTGCGGCTGCTGCTGCTGCTGCTGCTGCTGTGCTGCAGCGAGCTCGGCAAGGCGTTCTGGCGGGCGCTGCAGGGAGGAGACTGTCCCCTCCCGGAGTTGCTGATTCGAACTTCAGGGGAGGCCAGGCTTTCAGACTTCCTTCTCTGCGAGGTGCAGCAGCAGCAGCAGCAGCAGCAGCAGCGGTAGCAGGAATAGCAGCAGCAGCAGCAGTAGGAGCAGCAGCAGCAGCGCAGTGTAAAGGGAGTCAGTAGAGGCAGCAAAAGAATAGCCCATGCAGAGCCTTCCAGCAGCAGCAGCAGCAGCAAAGAACCCGCCGCTGTAGGCCAAGAGCTAATCCCAGCAGCAGCAGCAGCAGCTGCACCAGCAGCAGCAGCAGCAGCAGCAGCAGCAAACCGTGCGTGTGGGTGTGGACGCAGGTGTCTGAGGGCTGCTTCTTTCACTTTCTGCCGGTTTTGTGGCCGGACATGAGGCCTTGGCATTTGCTGCTGTGTCTGCTGCACCACCAGCTGGTTTCGTTTGCTGCTGCAGCAACAGCAGCAACAGCAGCAGCAGCAGCCAGGCTTCTTCGCGCCTAGCCCACAGGCGAAGACGCTTCTTGCTGCTGTTGCTGCT